CTCACAAATGTCCACAGCATGAAATTAGTTTCTTGTTCTTGGACAAATAGGCTTGTTTTGGGTTCGGGTTCGGCTTGAAAAACAGAAGACTATAAGCAGACGTTCTTTCAAGATTTTCTTGCACACAGTCTCCTTCAATTTCCACCCACTCTTTGACTGTATAGAAATTTTCCCACTTCAAGTTACACCATCTTCTCTCTTCAACTTAAATGACACTTCAGTGATATCCTGGCTTTCATCTATCAAAGCCTTAAAGGGAAAAACAACTTTGAAGAATGAGATACTGAGCATTGAAGATACAGAACTTGCATTAAAAAAAACTGTGCAATTATTGACTGTTCAACTTGAGAAAACTATCACATAGATTGTAATCTTCAAGCATCTTCCTGATGTAAATGTGATTTTTTTATTTGCCTCATAAAGCAGAGGAGCTAAGAATGGTAGGACAGGACAATGGTCTGTGCAGAGGTCAGAACCTGCAACGGCTTCTGTTAAGTATCTCTAGATGGGTATTATTTCAGCCACTTCAACTTCTTATTTTACATTTCAATAAAATGTCACTTCTCTTTTTACGATGTACTAAAAGCTTTGTGATGGCATCAGACAGTCGACATAAAATAACCTGAAAAGGACAAGACCCTCTCTCAGCTTTAAGCTTTTGTGTTCATGGCTTTGATAGAATAATTTAGGCCTTAAAATGGTCAATTTCTCACTTCACAAACTACAGCATGTCACTGACTGAAGCAGTGACGTGGTGTAGGGACACTTTAAAACGAGCCTGTGGCCTTCTGCTTTCACTGCTGCTCACTTGTACTGTACTTTACACCGGACAACCTATCAAATTGGAGCTCTTACACCAACAGGAATCAAAGAGATTTTTCAAGTTGACTCAGCTAAAAATAGATGTCAGCTGGCGCAGACGCCAAAAAGCCGATTGGCGGCCTGGTATTCAAGGCCCCTACTGGGGGGCTTACTGGGGCATGCGCTCCCTGGATGATTGGCAGCTGTCTCTGATGTGAGTGATCTTTATCAGTGTTAAACAATGAACTCCGAACTGTTTAGAAATGTATTTAGATTGATGTGCAGCCCCTTGTTGCTCAGTGAAGTTTTTTTTTTTAGCAGCAACAGACCAAATTTCTTTTTACTTCCAATAGAAGCAGGAAGTGGGAGCGTTTCTTCATTATTTAGCATTAGATTTTTTGAAACTAGTGAATTGCCACACTGTAATGTGCCATTTCATGTTGTTTAGCTGTGATCTTGTTCTGTTTCAGAGCTGGTAAGGGAAAGATGATATATTTTGGTGTTTTGATACCTTAAACCTTAGAAAGCAGCAGTACTTTTGTTTCACATGGTGTTTCATGTATGCCATTCTCATGTCTAGTTTATGTAGACTGTGTTTTGTTTCGCTTTTCGTGTGAAATTGAAATCTTGGTTGAGCCTTTATCTGCAACATGACCTTGCTTTGACTCCAAAAACTTCGGAGGAGTTGCTCGCTTTCTCGGGCCACTGTTTTGATTTAATCTTAGAGTTGATTGATTCATCTGGATTCGTTACACGAAACAATGCGTTCTTGATTGAAAACACGATTAGTCCAGCAAGTGTGCAGGTACAATTAACGTGTAGCCAATCAGCTTCATGGCAGAAATAATTTCATTATCAGACTAGTTGAGTGGCGTCAAGCTGTGTGCCCCACCAGCCATGACTGCTAATCAACCAATGGAGCCAAGTGCTGAACTGCTTTTACCTCGCCCTCGTCCACTCCCGTCACGGCTAAGTGGCCGCGTGGATTTGAAATGATCAGAATTAAAATTAAGGTAAGGCTTGTTGGTCTCTAGTCATTGGTTGGGGAAATTGAAAGTTCTCTCACACTGAAAGGGAAAGTGGACCTCAGACTAAAGTTTAGAGACCAAATGGAACAAGGTGACACATCTCATTACACCACCTCCACGAAATGTCCCTGTTTTAACGTCCACAGACAAAAACCTCCCTGAATTCCTCCCGGGGCAGACTGCCAGTGTTTCCAATCCACCACATTTCCCCGGCGTCTATTCACAGAGTCAAACTCCTGACAGTATCTTCACCAGATCAACCAATCATCCAGATAGCTAGTTTAAAAGTTTTCCTATGATCGTGAGTTTCTTTTTTTTTTATTATCTGGTTTTTAATCATGACCTCCTTTGTCTCCCTTGCTGTCTCTTGGCACAGAATAAAGGAAATTGCTTGTCAGTGACAAAACGGGGCTGTTTCTTCTCATGAGAGACACCGTTGTCATTCAGGTCAGCTGCTCCCTCTGGGACTGTCATTAGGTGAAATTATTTGCATGCCCCTGCCATGAGCGACAGCTATTCTGCTCTACGGCGACTTCGGCAAGCCAGTTTTTTAGGCGGAAAGACATCAAAGCCGGGGAAAAAAAATCGACCAAGTCGCATTTGATTAGTGGCTTGAGGCAGCCCCTGAGAGTTGTGTGTCTGTGTGTGCCTGTGTGGGTAGGTGGAGTGCAGTAATGCACATGTTTTCACACAGGTGCTGGCTTTTTTAAGGGGGGGGTGACAGGACATGAAAGGGATGAGCTTAGGTTTGATGTGATAATGAAGTGGCTTCTTTAGTCTTCAGCATCTCTTTTATCCAAACTACTCACCGGCACCTATTTGTACAGCAAATGTTTTGGAAGGACTCTAAAATAGTCGCCCGCTTCCTGCTATTGACATGGGAACTTCGTCATCTTCAGGTTTCGTTTGCGGTTTCTCACTTCTGAGAATGAAAAGATAGTGGATAAACTGGGTGTTAAAGCTCTGTCTTCGCCCGTCCCCCCGTGAGAGCTCCTCTGGCTCACGCCCGTGCTGCGTCATGCATTTGCACGTTTATGTGTCACGCTGCCCTCCCCTCCTGTTTCCATATCAGAGAAGCCCAGAGATTTGAGACCTGTCATGGTTGGTAGAAGTGAGCGGCAGCGATGCTACGGTTAGTGCACCGGAGCGTTTAGCTGTACATGGGAAGATTTGCCGGCCTGTGAAGCCATAAACCTGCAATTACAAACCCTAACAACTCTGGCGCAGGCCGCCCGTACAACGCAGTTTCCTCTGGGCTCTAGGATTTAAGCTTCACAATCAGTCAAGCGTGACTTAAGAAGCTAATTGCACAAGAGTGACACACACGCACGCACGCACACACACACACACACACACACACACACACAACATCCTTATGGGAGAAAGAGTGATGGTGGAGGTGGAATTTTGTTTGAAATTCATCAAATTTTAATCCAGTGCGTACATTTCCATATTTCCATATTTATCTTTACACTTCTAGCATCCACTTCCCCCCTGCATATCATTTTGGCCCTATTAATAGCTCACACCGTTGCTTATCCAACACACGCACAGAAAATCACACTCTCATTCTTGTCACCACAACCTCCTAACAGGTCTGGTGTTCAGAGACATGTGTATCCAGAGGTAGATAGGGCTGTCAATGAATCACTCCATTTCTGCCACACTCGGTAAATTGACTGTTTGGGACAGGAAACAGATGAGGCAGAAGCTGGGCAGAGTTGGAGATAAGATGTAGGATTCATACTCTCCATCTCCCCCTCCTATAATGAATCAGTGTATTTACTTAGAGCGATCTGCTCGTCTAAAGCGACACAGCAATTGCTCTGTCTTCTCAGCAGTGTTGTCACCCTCCCCTCTCCCCTGTTTCTCCACCCCCACCTAAAAGGTAATTGCTCTTACCTGAGACACTGTAATGGATCCTGGATGAAGTATTGACCGCTGCTAGATTTTGATTAAGGGGCTGTAGGGCAGAACACGTCTTTAATGAAACTGAAGAATCAGCATTCTCAGGCTTGTGCGTCTGGGCCAGGATGCTTTGCACTGTGGCCCACAAGCACCCCGCCTAGGATCTGATCCTCAGCTAATTCAGAGTGGGCCCAATGATCCTGAATTAAATGGGACAATATGACACATACACACTTATTCACCCTGCAGCTCAGTCATCCACCTCCATCCTGCCTCCCCATCGCTGGTACACTAACACACTCATTAACACACTCAGCCACTTTCCCCTTCATGTGCGATGGGTCAGCCTTTATCTGTTGGAATTTTAGCATGAGGGATAACTTGTATTAGCTTCTCTCATCCTTTCCCTTAAATTGCCTTTTTGCTCACGTTAAGAAAAAAAAGTGATTGCATCTCGTGTGAAGATGAAAGGGAAACCACTAGCTCTCTGTGTTCTTTGAGCGCTCAAATGGATATAATCCAAGAGGCGAGTATTAGCATGCTAAAAGACAGCACCACTATGATGAACACCATTTGCAAAGGCTTAATGCGATAGCCCAGTAAGATGATTAACTTTGAATCCATTTAATCAAGCACAAGCGCTTTTCCAAATAACCAGCTGTCTCATGCTCGGGTAAAACTATTCTCAAATCTGTTTGGAAGTGGATAGATGCGTCAAATAACACAGTTTCCAAATCAGACCAGAGGCCAGCCAAGCAGGATTCGCTTGAAGAGATGGACATCAAACGTTATTTTGAGTGCAGCAGTTGTTATCCTCGCTTTTCTTTAAAACTCGTGATGGAATGGAGCTTGGAACACACAGCGGCTTGATTAGACTGGGAAGTCAATGTGCCCTTGGGCTGCATCCTATTGACTTAAGTAGTTTAAGTAGTGGGCCTCTCACCTTTCTTCTTTTCTTTTTTTTTTCCATATCGACCCCCAAATCTGCCGATTGCTGGCTCTCCTAATGTGATGAGAATTCTGACCCTTTCAACCTGACCTTTAACCACAATCAAGCAGGACGGTTTGTGAGAATGTGCTTGTGTACACTGAAGCTGGAAAGATTTCATACCTTGTTAAGTTCCTGTGGCTATCAAAGCCAGGCAAATGCAAAGCTATTTATGAAATGCCGTCGGCGTCATTGATTTATCCGAGAAATGCGCAACTTGTTCCTGAAAAAAGTCTTAAGCTCTCTCTGCCTGTGTGTTTGTGTGATCTCCGCAGACCTGGATGACCCAGTGGTTACGGTGCACCAAAGCATAGGAGAGGCCAAGGAGCAGTTCTATTATGAGAGGACTGTATTTCTCCGCTGTGTGGCCAATTCCAACCCGCCCGTCCGTTACAGCTGGCACCGTGGCAGAGAAGTCTTGACGCAGGGCTCAGACAAGGGAGTGGAGATCTACGAGCCGTTTTTCACACAGGTAAGACAGAATATAAGTGGCTGATATGGATAACTCACAAGCAGACAATTAAAGGCCTTGAGTTGTTACCAGTTGTTTTAAAAGTAGTTTTATGTAAAGTGTCATGACTGTCTGTGATGTGTTCCCTCCCTTAGCATATAATGAGCATATCATATGATAAAGAAGTGATATGATAGGATAAAGAACACAGAGATACATATTTTTATATGTGTTGAAAGCTCATTAAGGACAAAAACGTGTGGAGATTACAATACAAGAAATAGAAGAGTGCACACAGAGTTCTGCTGGAAACCTGTGTAAAAACAACTAAGAGTTTGGTTCAGATTGTTTGTCGTCCTCAGGTTTGTGAGCACAAAATTAGCATATTTTATAATCAGAAATTAAAATCGTAATTCATTATAAGCATTTTAATAAAACCACCAGTTAGTGAACAGCAACTCTACACTTTCATATGTGAACATTTGTGAAGCCTTAGATAAAACTATTACTTAATATTCGGCTGAAGAACCTTTTGGTAACAACAACGGCGTCAGAAAAGTTCTCATAGGCTTCAAAAGGAGTCGATTTTTAATAAAAAAGACTTGTTAGATTTATTGATAACATTCAGGAAAAGTTAGTGATTTGTTGAGTTTTGTGCTTTGTGTGGTCATGTTCCCAGCACTGTGAATTCAGACAGTTTTCTGACAATGGGAGACCTTTTAAAAAATCAATTGATACTGATATATTCAGATATTATGCATTAAATACATTCATGCTATACACATCCAATGGCTCTAGTACCACAGGAAAAAAAAAAAAGTTACATCTTCCAGCGTGCACTAATTCAGCATAGTATGTCTAGCATCTGCGAGTCGATATTTCTGCTAATAACTGCAACAGCTAAATGTGCTGTTTGGATTAATTTAGTCTATTTCTTTTCCTGTTTTAGTGACTGGACATTTAGTTGTTTTTTTTTAAAGCAACTCTTATCCATCCTTTGAAAAACAAATATTGAACAGTTGTGTCCTCCCAGGAAACACGTGGCTGTGTAATCCAAAGGAGAGAAAAGAAAGATCTGTAAGACTGCGAGGGATACTTTTGTCTTAACAGTACTTGAACTGATTTTGGGGAGGGGATGATTCCTAATTTACGTATTTCACAAAACTATAAGGCTGCACTTAGTTAATCGTTGTCATTTGGGAAAGAATTTGGAATCCTTCACATAAAGCAAACCAATTTCCATTATAACAATCCCATTATTATTAGCACTAATTACAATTTTAACGAAGTAAAAAAAAATATCCGCAGAGAAACCTATCTAATATATATTTTGTGGGGCCTAAAACATCTAAACATTTAGACGAAAACTCAAGAATCTTCTTTTGGCAAAAAGTAAAAAAGCTTGTTATCACTGCACATACTCAAATCTCTTTGTGAATTTCTGACTACGGATAGATAAATGCTCCAGTTTCTAATTAACAAAGCAAGATTTTGTTACAGAAAGAACATATTAGAGAAGGCAATTTGGCAATAGTAGTGTTTAATTTACCTTTATGTAATGGATATAAGAGTGGTTTCTTGTGAGTTAAAACTCTATCTCACACCCAAATACCCCTACAAAGAGAGAATAGGACAATCAACCTTGTTCTCATTAACCCAAAGAATAGCAATACTAGATTTCACTGACCCAGTTTCACGGTTTTCATGCACATGGAGAAAATGCAGATGAAGAAAGTTTTAATCGCAATCTCTTTTTTTTTTCACTAGAGCGGGTGGATTTTCTTTACAATCTCGAAATTGAGACGCTTTGTTCCAAAAGGGATTTTGTACAGTCAACAAAGAACTGATTGAGATTGTTCAGTCAATTGTAAGGGGATTGTAGTTTCTGAATTGATTGAGCTGAATGTGATTTGTACGTGGAGCTCGGCATCGGAAAGAAGGCAACTACATGAGAAAGGAGGGGAAAAAAGTATGCATGGAAAAGAGGCTTAAGAGATAAAGAAAGAAAGAAAAAGGAAGCAAAATTGATGTTTGGCCAAATGGAGAAGGATGGCTGGGAACTAATGGAATGGGTAAAGGAGACTGAAGCTGCACAACTGGGCCTTCTCAATGCCTCAGACCTCTATTCTCCCTCCCTCTCTGCTCCATCTCTTCCTCTATTAGCTTTAGTAGGAGCAAAAAACTCAAAATCCAGCGATTAGGATTGTCTGAGTCCAGGCCCTAATAAATCCTAACTAAACTCCCTGTAATTTGCTCTTAGAAATAAGCTAATAACACTATTTTTCAACTGCATCGCAACCTGACTGAACCAGACACAATCAAATGAGGAAATAATTTGTAGCAGACCTAAATCAAATCAGCAGGGTCAAGTTCAGTCCACTCTATTTTGGTCGAGGGTGTTTGTTTAGTTCAGCTTTGTACGTTTCTCCCTCTATTAAACTTCATTTCAGCCTTACCTCTGCACATTTTTAAGCCTTTTTCTAAGGTTTTTTATGCCCAGAGAAAGGGCAGAAATAAAAAGGTGGCATTTTAAATTTCATAGAACTGGTTTTGCCAGTAAACATGGTTCAGGCTTTGTTTAAGTGCAGAATCCCCTTTCTTTCTGCTGTCTGTTATTAAATTAAATGAAGTTTTCAGAGGATTTCTACAGATATTGGAGCAGGATTGTTTGTCCAGTTAATATCAGTCATAAATTTGTTTATGTTTCTTCTCAAAAACTGGAATAAAGGACACCGTAAATAGTTCATAAAACAGATTTCTACATCATTTGGGAGGCATGAATGAAAAACGTAGGAAAATCCCTCAGCAGCACAATAACTCCTTTTCAAATGTTCCTTTTTTTCCTGGAGCAAAATCACAATTAGATTAATATATAGCTCAAAACTTAAGAAAAAGAAGAAAGAGAAAGAAAAATCAGGAGTATGACTGCTGGCCATGCATTAGTACCAACCGAAAATAGAACTTTAAAAGTGTATTTTCCTACACTAATAAAAGAAACTTGGGATAGAAAGCATTGAAAATATAAATCCATGTCAATATTTGATGAGACTGACCACCATATATCCTAAATTCTATGTACAATTAGAAAACTATAATAATTCCTATTGTTACAACATTTTTAAACAACAGAGAGAGCATCTGTGAGCTGGATGAGTGCTATTTTTAAGTTGTACTTAGATACCTTTGTTTTACTAAATTAAAGTTAAAGTACAAAAATAGAACTGTATAATTATATATTTTTTACCCATAAAATACAAAGCACCTCCACATAATTACCCTATCCTTAACTGCCAGCCATAAAATCTGATTTTAGCTCATTTGTGCTTTGTTTTCTTTTCTCCTTGCATCTCAGTCTGAGTAGTTTGTTCTCCTGATAAAACAAAACTCACCTCCTCATACCTGATTTAAAACAGCTGAGGTGACAGAAAAAGAAAAGAGGCTGAAGGTGGGGTCCCTGGCTAATGTAAGGATTGTGCTAACTCTGGGCCTGTGAAAGAGTTTGTTTTTTGGACAAACTGCAGCATATTTCTGACCCATGTTTCAAACTGCCCCCCCTCTCTTTTTACCCCCACATGTCCCCACACACACCCAGGAGTGAGCCAGATCAAAGGTTTACATCCTCATTCTAACCTTTTGGGTGAGGCTTGTGGCTGACAGGCCCAGCTGGAATCAAGCACAAATTCTCCATGAGATAGCCATTTCTGTGGAGAGATTCCCCACTGAGCTCATCCATATTTCCAGAGCTCAGCAGTGTTAAATGCCGCAGGCCCCTTCTGCAGAGTGACCCACTCAGTGGTCACGAGCAAGGCGACATTTTTCTCTGTGTTAGAAAATATCAGCGTCATTTTTAATGCGGCGTTGCATCGATGTCGTTGAATTTCCCCCGTTTCCTCCGTTCCTGTTTTAACTCTTCACACATTCATGTCTTTGACCTTCCTTTGGAGCTGTTTCACTTTAGACATTGCCTTCCCAGATTCTAGTTTTTTTTTATTTTGGCTTCGCTTTTACTTGGTTCCGTTGGTATTTTTGCACACATTTGCATACCAGTGTTGGTTTGGTCTGAGCTGCAGGGGGAAACGAAGATTCTGAAGCTGAAGAACCTGCGTCCTCAAGACTACGCCAACTACAGCTGCATCGCCTCTGTCAGGAATGTGTGTGGGATTCCTGATCGAAGCGTCATCTTCAAACTCACCAATAAAACAGGTACTCCACACCACTATTGATTTTTCTGGGCATTAAAATGTTATTATACTAGTCCAAATAACTGTTCTTCTTTTTAATGTTTTTTTTTTTTTCCTTTTAAGCCGACTCCAATTTGAAACACATCCACATGCATAAAACAGAGCGGGCAAATGATGTAGTGTGCAGTTTGTTTTTCATCTATTGGTACTATAACTCTCCCTCTGCAGCCTCCCCATCCATCAAATTGCTGGTGGAGGATCCTATCGTGGTAAATCCTGGTCAGACAGTCTCCTTGGTGTGCATCACGACCGGGGGGGAGCCACCCCCCCTCCTCACCTGGGTCAGCAGCAATGACAGCCTGCCACAGAGGAGCGTGGTGAAGGGGGGCACCCTCACACTGCCGGCCATCACCTCGGACGAGGCCGGTGTTTACAGCTGCGTCGCCAGCAACAACGTGGGAAACCCTGCCAAGAAATCCACCACCATAGTGGTGCGAGGTGAGGAGGCACAACTACATAGATACGTTTCAACGGAAGCCCACATGTCTTTGGATTGAAACGACGAAAGTGAGCGAGCTATGAAGACTGATCAGATACCATCAATAATTGATGCATGCTGATGATAACAGAGATTATCTTTGTCCGGCCCACTTGTGTGCTGCTGCTGATTAAAAAAAAAAAAAAAAGTTTATTTGACATCATATGTCAAAGAGTTACTATCTTATTTTGTTTTTGGTATTTTTAAGTCAGGGGTTCCTCTGGAGCAAGGCAACACATTCTAATTTAAGAAAAGAAAGAACTGAATCTCATACTGTATAATGCTGCACCCCTTAACAGCTTTTGAGCTTAATATTCCAGTTTGGATCCATTCTTTTTACGATTACCGTTTTTATTGCTCATTTGAAACTGCTCCAAGCTGCCATTTGGCACTCGTTTAGCAGATGTGTTTCATTACGATGAAACAGAAACAGTGACAGAAAAAGCTGGGGTTGCAGTCAAGGTGTTACAGGGGTGAAATGCTCAAGCAAAGTCAGTGCAGTTATTGTGCACTTATTGAGAGGCGCAAACTTCTATGGAGTAAATCTCTCTCTCTCTATGCCTCATGTACGCTTCAGACCGTTCAGACACGTCATTCAACAATTATCAAGCTTTAAGTGGAGGCGGCAGTGCATCATGACTGATGTAAATTAAGAAAAGAATAAACGTATGTATAGTTCAGGTCTTCCAGCACAGTATCCCTGTTTAATTTGCCAAAGGTATTGCAAAAAAGCAGCTGAGTTACAATGCTCCATTTGAACATTTCTGTTTCCCACATAATCATTAGCCATTTCAAAACTGTACGGTCCAATAAACAGGCTATGCATTCATCTTAAAATAATAAGTTGCTGGTCTATCCTTGTATGGATGGAAGTTCTTTCCGCCCCCCTTTCATTTATAATCCAAACATTTCCTTTTCATCTGTGCCCTGAAAATGCAGAATTGTTCATCTATTACTTTAAGCGCTGGAGTCACAAACAGGATGGAATAAACAGACAGATTAAACTAATTTATTTCCTTCTACTTTACTGATTGCCTCAATTTCACATGAAGTAAAACTTGGATTGTTTCATTGACGGGTCCATTTGATTTAGGTACAAACAGGGCATCTATAGCTAAGGTGGGCTTCCTCGGTCAGTTACGGTTAAGAATAGGAGAGACAGTTTGTTGCATATGTTTACATTTTCATGATGACTATGGTTTATAAAAACAACAAAAAACATAAAGACAACATGCTAAATGAATGCATTTCCACAAATATGTGCATGTATACACAGTTTAAATCATGAAACTACACACATTTTTATGCATCTTGCCCCAGGGTGTGTATTTTCTGTATGAGTGTAACTTATTTTGGTCTGGACTTTGGGCAATGCAACTTCCCAGACATTTAAATGCACAAAAAGTGCTCACTGAGGGAAAAGGGAAGGGGAAAAAACCCCAAAGCTCAACATGACCTCTTTAATTTTATTTTATTTTTTCATACGAAACACAACAGTACATTTTTTTGTTTGTTTCTAATTTATGCCACTTGCAGAGTCTTTCTTTTTTCATTCACTAGTGTTCATACGATATGAATTATGCTCTTACCTAACAGAAACAGCATCTGATCTATATTATAGCTGTGATAACTTATTGACAATCAAGGGCGATGCCAAAGGCAAGCAGCTGTTAAATTGTTAATTAAAATACACTAGTCCAAGGGGTAGTTAGTACCACTTTAACTAGAACAGCAGGATACTGTTCATTGGTGGTTGTTTGGTCATTGTCAGGAGACTGCTATGTTCACCTGAGTGGCACAGGATCTGATCAAGCATTTATTGCCAAGGGGGAAAGTATAACTCAGAAAAGGGTAATTCCACCGCTTGCTACACTGTTCGTTAGCGGGATAGCTGGTGGATGAAACTTATGCATGGCATACGCAACAGTATCCCAGTATTTGAACAATATTCAAAGGTTTTTGCTGCCTGTGTCAAAATGCTGCTTTGTCGTAAATCCTTGCCGGTGTACCATAATGAATGTGGACATAGGCTTTCATACCCTTAAATGAATCGCTGTTTCTAAGCATGAGGATTAAGGGTGGTTTGAGAGACTAGGCTTTCATCTTCCATAGAATGTATGTGCCTTCAATGTTGAACAGTAATTGAATTTAAAGATTAATGAATTCACGAAGATCGTACATGAAACAACATTCGAGTATCAAAAAAAAAAAACTTTCGTTTACCATTCCAGTGAGCATTATGCACACATGAATGAGTGTATTTAAATCAGGCTTGAGCACCACGCTCATAAATGTAAGTTTCTCCCAGTTTCTGCTTTCATCTCAGATATTATGCCACAGCTCCATCATCAGGTCGCCTCCATGCTCAGCCTGTTTGGGAGCTCTTATTTATGCAGCCATACACTCTGTGGGATGAAAATCAAATCACCAACAAATCATTTCTGATGGTCCCCCCTGACAGATAAACCTCTTCTCTGTATTGTGAAAGTGCCCACACAGCTGAAGACTTAAGAACTGAGAGGCTTACATCAAAGAGAAGATGTCAGGTGTCCCGTGGGAGCAAATAAGTCAGAACATGTTCAGTGCAGCCGGTCGCCGCAATAAATATCACACTTATTGAAGTGTCAAACATCTGGAGCTGACGATAGCTCTCCTCCGGGATCCTGTTGAATATCATCCAAGAACTGGAAAAGATAGGAGAAAGATCACAATATTTTCAAAATACGTGTGATGTTTGAATAGACTCACTGATTCGAGCATTGCCTGCACTCATTAAAAATGAAACAGGACAAATATGCATTATTCTGATTGCTTAAATGTCTATCAATAAGATATGCAGCTACTGATTTCTGATGCAGCGCTTTATGGGAAAACAAGGATTCCATTTCTACAGGCCGGTGCTGTACGGCATAATGTTGGCCTGAATGAAAAACTGAGATTTGACACGTTTTTCCTGCAAAAGACAGGCACTGCTCAGAAATTATCCCTGATGCACGCGTTTATCTCCCTCTCGACCCTTGAAAGCCGTCAGTGTCATTAGTTTTATTTTGTGGTTTACTGTAGACAGACAGATAAAATACTACCACACAGGCTAGGTGGATGGGAACAAACTGTAATAATTTTCAATCAATGTGTCAACACACCTCTTAGAAGTTATCGGAAGGGAAGATATCTAAACTGCATGCAGGAAGGGGAAGAGACTTGAATTATTCAATGATTCAATATGTGACAAAAGAAATTAAGGGTCAATAAAAACAGGAAAGAAATGTGGAACTTTCTCATTTGATCAATAGATAGTCACTCTGGTCGCTGCAGGATCAATAACTACACGCAGTCATTTAAGAATGTAATGAGCTGGCATGAGTGTCAAATGATCAACAGAAAAACTCCAGGAAAATGTTGTATTGAAGTGAATCTGGAGGCTGTGAGAGGCTCTAGGACAAAAAGCTGTTTTCATTCTGTTGATGCAACGGTATGACAAACTGTGACAGACATTTGAGTGAACAGAGGTGTGGGTTTTTGGTGGTGGGGGGGGCTGCCCTAATTAACAGGAGGTGGGTTTAGCATGTTATCGCACATCTCAGGATGTGCTCTCCTGAGTCTGATGAGATGTCACTGACGCAAATGGTCACCCCTGAGATCAGCATCCCCCTTCCATGAGTTTTCGACTCCACGGTGTTCATCCAGTCTGATTCTCCGTTTCTGAACATCACGCCGCATTAAAACGAGGTCGTTTACATATCAACGGGTGCTCTGAAGATGGCTTGGATTGGGTTATATTGAAATGACCATGGATGTTGCTGAATGTTTCCATATGAAAACAATTTCAACATGACATTCTGTTAAAATATTGTCACACTGGAGACTAAACAGAAACCTAAATTGACATTTTCATTCATTCACACCCGCATTTCTTCGTCTGCCAGGTTGTTTAGTCATTTGTTATCGAATTTGCTTGCCGGCTCGTGTCTCTACTCATCACCAATTATCTATCACCTTTGGCCCAGGTAATTTGTGATTTGGTTTGTTGTCAGTGGTGCTCGATTTCTGCGACAGGTTATTAGAAGAGGCTTCCACACCTCATCAGGGAGTTTGCAATGCCCCTTAAAATGAACCCCCGTCAAATAAGAGTGCAAATAGAACCAGAGTGGATAGCCTCTTTGTGCACAGAATGAATTTAACTTGTTTTCTTTTGTTTATCCACATCTTGTGTGTGAATGCAATCAATTTCCTCCGAAATTACGCATAAAACACACAAATAATTGCTTTATAATCTAAGTTTCATCTAGTGCCGCACATTGAGAATTAGGTGTGGTATATTGCAAAATAACCATGGAATTTGTTTCCTCGCGTTTGTGACGTTTTGGTATAATTTGGGGGGCAGATAATGGGACACAAGTACACAGGCAGACCTTTGGTGGCTTTTTGTTTTTTCACATGCGTGTGGAAAGTGCCGTGTGTGAGCAAAGCAGCAGGACTGTGCCGTGTGTAAGACTGTGGCTCTGATGGCTGCAATGTTTGGAATCATTAAGTAGTGGTGAATAGAAGGTCATCTCTTTGTGCACATGTGTGCATGAATTTATATTCATGTGCATATGTCCCATGCGTACATGAGATGCCTAATTATTCAGCCCTACTACAAGGTTCACTCTGCAGGTTGTGCAGGGTCACCCGGCTTATCTTAGCTGGTTCACCCTCCTCTCTAGTCCTTGAGAGGCACCAGCAAACTGCTGTGGCTAAAGGGGGCCGTGTGTGAAAACACACATCCCTCCCCAGCAGATGGTAGTTTCTCTGGCCATACTGTCCCAGCAGCCAGACTGCCTTCTCAAGATTGGCCATCTCTGCAGCCAGCCCAGCAGGCCACTGGCATCACATCACCCTGCCGACAGGATTCTTCTTATGGATTAAGGGTGTACAACACGTCTTCAAATGCAGGTCAACACCCCGCGTTCTCCCTCTC